ATTTACAGATTTGTAAGAACTAATATCTAAAATTCATTTTGGTCTTTTATGTTTAGGCCATGAAAACAGTGTCAGCTTTCGAGGAATTTCACATTTGGAAATTTGCATATTTCAGTGCGATAAACACAGCTCTTTTCTACACCTAGAGCAAATGCCTGTTGTAGAAAAATAACATGGTAAATAGTGATTATTTTTTCATATAAAGTTTGCATTATTTACTTCTTTTTTATTCCGCTATTTATTGTGTAACAAACTTTATCAAACTCATTAATAATTCATAATGTCATTAGCCAATGATATACTGAGAATCTAATSACGTGATGATAGCTTTATATTGGGTAAAAGGTGCAGCAACCTTAAAGTTGTGGGCGGCTTTAAATATTTTCAGTGGAGTGCGGGGCTGATTATTATTCAACGTTTTCCTGAAACAGACCTAATTAATAAAACATTAGTTCTGTATCAACTAAACTCGCGTGCAAACACACACAATAAAAACAYTGTGAAAAATGTTGTAGCAATGTTTCGTTTCCTTTGCAATTTACTCGTTCGTCGGATAAGCTTCGCCGTTTTCCTTCGCCCCCCTTCTTGTATGAATGTGACCATCCAAAAAAACAACGACTAGGCGTTCATGTCTTCAAGATWAGTCAGCATCTTGGAATGACTCGCTGTTTTTGAAACTGAAACTAATGCTCCCATTTATGGCTTTCTTGTTCGCACAGTMTTTTTGCCAGTCGCAAAATAAGGTTGCGGACCATTTTGGTGAATATTTATTTTCCATGCTTGAAAAGTTTTAAGAAATATTGTTAATTTTTAAGCTAAAACGAGATCACTAACTTTTACCAATTTTTGCCGTCAAATTTGCATAAATTTGGCAAGATCGAATTTTTCGATTTTCTCGTAAAATATAAGTAATTTGATCAAACAAAGTATACTACGATTCTTAGGTCCAGTAGTACTACTAATCATGAAAGCCGATAGATTATACGTTTTTATGAGAAGAGCGAGTCATAAGAAAATTGATAAACAACATTCTGACACKGTTGAACTATTTCAACAGCAAGCGCAAAGAGAAATTGACCTGATTTATTCAKAAAGCAAGACATTCTAACAAGATTTTTCAATGCTTTATAAACATCAGTATATCGTCAAAATCAGAACAACGTCAATTTTAACAGTAATTTAACTTTATTTTTTAACATGCTATGTGTCTAAACCGGTAAGGAAAATTTATTACGTAGAATGGTCGAAGCAAGTACGATGTTTGAAATTTATATTATTAAACAGCTTTCAAGGCCAAAGTTATTGGATCAACTTGTCGATATTTCCTTCTTTCAGCTWTGTTTTGGTAATCTTTAGTCGGATAMAAAATAATCAAACATAGAGGAATCTTCATCGTGTATTTTGATATATTATTTTGAAAAACTCATCTCACGAATTGATAAAGGACTTACTTTCGACAGAAGAAGCTTGAACATTCTCGGTAGATTGAGTTCTTGTAGCTTGGTTATCGTTTGTGTCTCCATTGAAATTTCTGTCGTCCTGGCCTATCGCCGCACCACATTTTGGGCASMACTTAAATTCTGAAGCCAATGATCCAATTTTATCWAAAAMGTCTGGATCTTGACATTCAGGATTTTTGCACTTCATATTCAAATAGTTTGTTTAAAATAWYGGAAGTTTTCAAACTCAGTTTTATAGCTTTCCATTTTGTGCTGACAAGCACAAGAAAATGGATTATTCGTGGAACACTCTAGATCTTTGATTCTTAGAAGCGAGCCCGGAAGTATAGTCACGCGATATTAATTTAAGTCACGCGATTTTCCAGTCCCGCGATTTTGTGATCTTCTAGTAAATTCGAGACATAGGCCGCCCAACTATTGCTTGAGAGACAGAAAGAGACAGAAAATAATGAATGCGCACACTTTTAAAATGTATATTACCTGTGTTATTACTTCACGATCCCGTGCCTCGCGGGTATACACTAATCTGTGGCATGAAACACTGGTCACTTGACAAACTAATTTTGCTCCTATTTCTCCAAAGATAACAGTTAACCTAATAATTGACCTTTTATCGAGATCGTCCCGCACACGTTAAAGTCGTCACACTTGTACCGTGAATTATGATCAAAATAAACAGTAAAGATTAGTGTCTATTTATTGAAACTATAGCTATCTATTTCTCTTTCACCCTATAATCAATAAAGGGCAATTCTTTTTATGTCATTGGATTTCCATGAAGCCTATATTTAACACAAGTTCTAGCCCTTCCCGACATCTTTCGTCTGGGTTTAAAGTCCACCTCACCCAATTTTTTTTATATTTGTAAAGAAAAGACTTTTGTCATAGTAACAACAATTTGTACAAACAAATTTGATTTC